GGACGCGTCCTCGGGATGGTAGCCACGGTTGGTTCGGTTTTATCGGCGCAAATTGGCCGGAAAGTCGGCGCTTCGCCGCGGCGCACGTGTGTATCCACGCGTTTTTACCTTCTACGGGCCGCTCTTACACCCTGCTAGCAGAAAATTGTTTGTTTGCACAGAGAAATCGCTATGAAAGATTACGCAGAGGGTTTTCGAGTCGAGAAACCGAATCGAATGTATCTGGTTATTGCTGGACGAGTCGTTGAGAAATTGTGGAGGATGAATGATGATGATGGATACTGAAGCTGCGAATAGTGTGAGATTTAACTGACCTGGTTCTTGGAAATTTGAATTTTTTGTTTCAATCCGAAGTAGCTATAGATACAGGTTCAATTTGTGAATATCCTTTGGAAAGGAGTTCTTCGACGAGACGATAAGTAGATAATAAATCTTGTCTAAGTAGTTGATATATCTGTCAAGTTAATTCATATCGTTACACTATTCTTTGAATTATCCACTCTTCTCTAAAGCTTATCGTTTATTTAGAGAATAACAGAATAATTCGTTGTAATAGAATAAAATATTATTGAAAATATACTTTGTAATATCTCTGTTAGAATTTTCATTATCCTTATACCTTTTCATATTTAATGGAATATTTTTGTATTTAATCTTTTCAGATGTGTATCTTACAATCGCCCAAACATCTACTACTACAAAAATCCCACCAGACAGAAATACAAATATACATAAATTCCAAAACTTCAAACTCTATCAACAAACTTTAGACATCTCCAAAGATTTCCTTCTTCTCAAATAACTTCTTCTCCCACAATCAACGCCCCCTTTCAGACAAAACCACAGACATAAGAGCGAAACAAATCACCATACCGTCACGCACAAGTCGACCTTACAAAAAATTTTCTGATTCTAGGGACAGGAAGGAAAAATAGTTTCAATGTAACCAAAAAAAAAAAAAAAGGAAAACGCCTCGTGCACCCTATAATACTACTTTGAACGCACACGGCTCATTAGCGTCGAAAGTCGTTGGATATGGAAGAAAGTATGAAAAGAGAGTAGTCGATAAGAGAAAAGTGTCGGCTGAAACTTTTACGATCGCGGCTCTTTTTTACGGCAACTTTCGTTGAAGGACGCGGCCGCAATAAAACGACCGCCATACGCGCCGCGATATCTCGTTTTCATCCCCTTTCATCCTCTTTCATCCCCTTTTCTTCCTTTCGGTGCAACGCCCACCGTGTTTCGACCAGCCGGCCCCGATTACGTTTCGTTACATTTCCAGCTTTTACGATTTTCCAGCTGGTTTGCATTTCACGTTTTCCACCCTTTTCCTCGACACCATTTTTCCAACACGCTCGGCGATCCTTCGCTTTTAAGTACCCTCCACACGATAATACCTAGCCGCGTGATTTGAAATCAAGTCTTACGATTGGATTCATCGGAACTAAGTTTCAGAAATTATTCGACCAGTAGATCGATGTAATCTGAAAATGAGAAAGTTGACTATTACGATTTTCAAGTAATTTAAAGGGTTTTAGAAATTACAGATATTCCAAGGACTCGAAACTTATCGAGATTCGAGATTTTGTCAAGGCTTACGAAGAATTTCAAGATTCCCAACAATCCCAAGGCCTGCTAAGACTTTCGAGACTTTTAACAATTTCAAGATCATATACAAATTTTAAAGACTGAAAACTGAAAATTTATTCGAGCCTATCAAGAATTTCAAGATTTATCACGATATTTTTCAAACTTACACGAATTTTAAGACTTCTCCAAACTGTAAAGATACCTGTCGATACCTAAGAAACCTCTCAGTAGTCGAAACATATCGAAATTATTCAGAATTTAATACATATAGTGAATTATGTTTCAAATGATTCAATTTTATTGCCAAATGTGTGCAAGGAACTTTATTCAGTCCATCCTGGAGCAAGGGGAACCTTCGTTTCTAAGTGTCGGGGTGAGAGAATCGTGAAAGGTGGGGTTTTACAAAGGATTCCATTTTCTCAAATAATCCCGAAAACGCGATAGAAAGCTCGTAAAACGGGCAGGCAATCTTGCATTTACGAGCTCACACTCGTTTCCGCTGTCAACGCGAGGCCGTTGCTCCTTGAAATACGGAAACCGCCACTATGGCGTTGCTTCCAGATCAAGATTATTTCTTTTGCGGATGAGGTTGGGTAGATGGAGGATCGAAGGTGGTTAGGTTTAGTTTGGGGAATATTGTTCTTGATTGTTTTCGTTGGTTTGGATGGTTCGAGCAAAGTTATTGGACATAGTGGTTTCTGGGACCAATGTGTTTGACGCAAACGATACGAAGTTTGAGCAAGTTTTCTTTAAGATGATATGTTTGTTGATACGTAGTTTATTATATTGTTTGAAATTTAGTTTGAGAGACTCTGTTGGCTGGACGTGATCGGTGTAAATGGATTTAACGTTTAAAGAAGTTTTGTAGTTTGTAACATCGTTTGGAGAAGTTTGAGCAAGTTTGACCAAGTTTGACCAAGTTTGAGTAAGTTTAGGTAGGAATAATATGCTTGTTGAGAGAGATTTTTCATGCTGTTGTTTGAGGTTGGTTGAATTAGAATCTTTGTGGATTGTGTGTGAATTACAAATATAATTTCAGATTTCAGATAATTACGTATTTCATAGATTCTTCTATTATTTTCTTTTTACGAAGAATAAACAGAAAGTTGAAACTGCCTGAAACAATAGAAGGAATAAAATTTCACCGTGAAGTATGGCCAAAGGTACTTATTTTCCGCATGACCGAAGAATTTGGGTGTGCCTGGCCACCAGGAACACGTTGGTCGGTCATTATGGGCCCATTAGTCGTGTCAAATGACGAGCCATGAATTCGTCTCGGATTTCATTCGGTAAACTGAAGAAGCGGCTTCAAAAAACACAGCTCACCCTTTCCCTTCTCTAAAGAAAGTTAAAGGAGACCGTTGAAATCAATCTCGAATCTCTCATTTAATTTCATTTCTTCACCGAAACTTGTCACGCCAATCATTATACAAAATTCAACGTACAAAAAAAGAAGACTCCAAAGAAGAAATTATTCTCTTTCATCGAAGACAAATATAACGTTAGACGGAAGAATTGGAGAACGAAGACGAAGATTCGTTTAGAAATTTTTCTCGAATTTTTTTAGAATATCGTAGACTGATAGCGGGGTCGTTGAAAAATCCCATAGTAAATTGTGATAAATCGTTGGGACTAAACAGGATACGAAAATCTGCAACGTAACGAGAGACCGCGCGCCTCTGTCTCCCGCTTTTTCTATGTTCTTTTCTTAGTGAACCACCCACGGTGAGCTTCCAACCTGGAACAAGAAGAAAAGCCGCGCGACCGCCCGATTTATGGTTTTTCAAAGGAATGGGAAACGAAATCGGAGCACGACGAATGTGTCGGTTCTAAATGGAGCCACATGTCAAGCCCAATGTTGTCGCTAATTTCGGCAATTAACTAAACGTCTGTCCAGCTCGAACCTCCAGCTTGTTTAATTATTATTAATTACACGCGTTGTTCGAGTGAATTCTTGGAAAAGACCAACGAAGCTTGAAATCGTACCTTTTGGTATTTCCAAAGATTTTAGAAAAACTTGTATGATGATTATTAATTATATTCACTGTCGACGTAGAAATTTTGGAAAAAATACAATTTTGAGAAGAAGTATTTTCGTGTAATTCTTATAAATTCTTTTCCTCGTTGAAGTTTCGTTAAGATCTTTTCTATCATCTTCGATTATAGTACAATCAATTTCTTTTCAATAATTAATTTTTGTAATCGCTCATCTCGAAGTTTATTCGTTTATTCAAAAAACAAAAAACTGACCTTTTGTACAGGTGAATCTTCCTATTCTCTTTACATAAATAACATCATATCTTTTTAAAGAATTAATTCGTCTAAATTGAACAATATCTTTTTATCTACTGTATAAATATAATTATACAAGCTGATCCATTCGTCCAATTATATACCTTATTTTTTGTTATTTAAATAATGATTAATAATAAATCCTCTTTGTCATTTGATCTTCAGTCTTTGATCCAATTACATTAACTCTTTTATTCCTAAATTATTTAACAGTCACAATCTGTGTATACTTTTTTCTCCCTGTTACACGACAAATAAACTTATAAATTACGATTTTTACAAGATCAGCTTCTGATCAAAGTGACACTTTACGATTCTATTATCTATTTCTTCTTTTTTTCTATTATTACACTATTTATTTCGTAGTTCCACTTTGGCCGCGTCGACAGGAACGAAAGGGTGAAGATAATAACAGTAATAACGTATCTCTTTTGGTCGAAAATGTAGGGTGTTTTAGTGTCTCTGGAGTGCTCGGACTCTTCGTTGCATTAGAGTGTGTCGTCTCACATTGCCAATGTAACCGGAAATCATACTGCTGCGCAGTATGGCCGGTCGTTTTACCGGACGTTTGGCGTGCAGGTGATGTACCATTGGTTCCGGTGGTTTCTTCTTCGTCAATGGCGTTTCCCAGAAAGTCTGATCGATTCCGAATAACTCTCCGTCCTTTAACAATTAACTTTCAATATTGATATAACCATCGTAAGAATAAGCTATTTACAGCGACTAGCGAAATTATATTATGCGAAATATATTAATATATTATGCATTCTATACGAAACATTTAAGTAGAGACTCTTATGAGTTTTGAGCATACTCTAAGAAGGAAAAAAATATTTCAGAAGGAAATTGAGAGGCAAACATCCGCATCAACGATAATTCTTCAAACTTAAACAATTTTTTAGCAATTATAGAAAACACGATACAGTCGGAATTGATTCGAAGCACGCATCCTTAAAAAAAGACGTACAATATCCAAAGCATACTTAGCACAGAGGCTCTACTTTCTTAATTTTTAGACTGCAGACGTTTTCACGGTGCCCTTAAACTGTAATCGCGAGCCTTTCATGTCCGATGCATTTCTCGATAGATAACGCTTGTTAAAAAAGTCCCCTAGAAATTCATATAACATCTTCGAACGTTCTAAATTATGGTTATCGTAAAACTCCTGCCAAATAACATTTTTTAGACGTAAATAAAATAAAGGTTTCATACCCACTACCTTGCGAGAAATTTTCAACCCGGTCGAAATAATTCGGCCACGAAGCACCCACATTTACGGTTTAAGGATTAATTATATTGTTGAAAATAAGTATTTGCATAAAGAAGCACAGTCGAGTAATCGGCATTACCATCATCGTTTGGGGTAGTTGTTCCATCAGTGTTTCAGGAAGGAAGAGACTGAGAGATCCAGCAAATATACAGCACGTGCCAAGGATGATCATCGGCAGATTGTACATGAATTCGCTGGAGAAGGCGATGAAGGGGCTGCAGATGGAAGTAACGTATCCTGTCATGTGTATGAACGCCACGCCCTCGCCTCGTATCACCGTCGGTAGTAATTCAGCCGCGTATTGCATCGCGATGTTCGAGGCGATATTGATAAAGAGTCTGCCACAAATCGCGAAAGAGACGAAGACGATCCCTATCGAGACGCTGGATGCGAGTAGGCTGAACAATCCGGAGAGTATCACCGCGACGAACAACGTCCATCTTCGACCAAACACGTCGAGAGTGTAGACGATTACTATCTCGGCTGGGAATTCGGTCGCGGATGCTATGGTAAATGTAGTGAATATATTCATGCCGAGACGGTCCAAGCATCTTATGTGACCATCGTAGGCCATTTGAATGACGCCCCATACCGCAGTTAATAGCAGCGTGATTCTTCTGTGGAGGATTGCATCCGAATTGAAAGGAGAATGTTAACAATTGTTCAGTTTTGTAGCTCCTTGCGAACGAAAAATTCTTGCAGGGTATCTAAGCAAAGATCCAAAATAACAATTGTTTGTGACATTTTTTTGGGAAAGAGGTACTGAGTGAAAATTAATTTTTCTTTAAACAGAAGCTGATTATCAGTGAATCACAGAGAAATTTGTCAAAATATTAATTTCTACCACTAGATTATTGCTATGCGAGGACAATAGGCAACAACGATCTTGTGATATTTTAGATTCATACGATTCGAAACTTCGATTGATTTACCACTAGGACTCTTAGGGGATTGTAAGTTTGACCATTTGCCACCTTTTCATCTTTGCACTTATCTCTTTCCACTTTCCTATATTTTGGATAAATGCTAATAAATATTTTTTATTCCTTTAGAGATGCTCCTAACGTCCTGCAAGAATTTTTCGTTCGTTAGAAGGTCAAAAAATGGCCACTTTTTAACATCCTCCTCTTCCTCTCTATTTCTATCGAATTTCAAATCATATCAATTTTTAGATCTTATTGCTATTGCAGAGTATTAGACGATTATAGCAGTTCATATAACAGGAAGAATTTCTACATCGAGATTATCTACATTATTTATGTTTTCTGGTTAACACAATAGCAGTCCATGTTTCGACGAGTTAATTTGAAGAAGAACTGATTCAGTTACTAATTGGCAATTTTTGTATATTGTGTAACGCCTGACGAATGAATTATTATATTAATTAAGTGTAAGGGCAGAAAGCATAGTGCAGGGCTCAAGATAAAATATTGTAAATACCTTAAACGTTTTGTTTTAAATAAATCGAGAATGGTGTGTTCCTCCATAGCCAAGGTTTCCGCAGTTCTCCCGCAATCTTCCAAAAATTCGTTATATACATCGTTAGGTATCGTGCGATTATTTACTTTCTCGATCTTCGAGATGATCTTCATAGCTTTCTCGATATGTCCCTTTCCAATTAACCACCTGTTTCATACGACTTTATTCCTTAACTCCCACGAAAATTATATTAAATTTTCTCTTAACTGACGTTAAAAAGGTCTTAGTTAGACTTACAGAACAACGTTATTCAATTTCACGCTATCTAACAAATTGAATTCAAACGAAGATTTGTTTCGCCTAACCATGTATTATTATGAATAGTATATTTTAGATATTTTCACCTGTAAATTTCCTATGAACGCATACACAGCCGCATTTACGATATAAATGGCGGAATAGAAATTACCTGACGCTCTCAGGAAGAACGAAAGGTGCGGCTATAACAGCACATATTGGAACGGTCGTGATCAGAGAAAAAGTTTGCCAATTGGCGACCCCATAAGCTATCCATGGTATAGTCATCGTGCCAATAGTATAGAATATTCCATAGGACATGTGACCGATAAAAGTTCTCCATCTGGGGCCCATGTATTCCAATACTAGTATATAGGCCATCACGAAACTGTTGTCATAGGCCACACCAACGATGAATCTACAGATGCAGAATTCCCAGAATTTGGTTATGTATATGGTACAAATGCCACCGACAAACGCAAAAACATTGGTTGCAATTAAGGTCGGAACTCTTCCGTATTTGTCAGCTAGCCAACCAAATATTATGCCTCCAACAATCGAACCCATAAAAAAGATACTCTGTGCTAGTGTCGCTTTGTAGCTTTCGTCGCATACCTGATTTGGTAGAAATTTGTGTTAGAAAATGAGAAACATTAAATTCAAGTTATATTAGTAGACAGTAATTTTGATAATATTTTGGATAATATTTGATAGAATAATATTTGCAAATTTTGACAATGTTTTGAATAATTTTTGATAAAATTTTGGATACTTTGTGACAGCGTTTCGATAATATTTTGAATAATTTCCGATAAAATTTCGACGATACTTCAAACATTTTGCATTATATCTCGGATAATATTTCAAATTATACTCGATAATATTTGAAATAATTTTCGACAAAATTTCGAGAAATCTCAATAATATTTCGAATACTCTACAATAAATTTTTGCTAATATTTCCAATAATATCCATAACAAAGTTTCGTATAATTTGCAATAAACTTTAGATAGTATCTTGAACAATGATCGATAAAATTTCCATAATATTTCGAATAATTTACGATAAATAATTTACGATAATTTTCAAATGACTATTTCAATAGAAACAATTAACGTTAATGAAAAACTGCTCGGTAATTTAATATTAATTTTATTATTACCCATTTCTGTTCTGCGGCTACGGATATGTAAGGCACGTCAGAAGCGGACAATTTAAATTCCCATTCGTTACATTTCTTCACCGGCCAATTTGCATCCGGCTGACGTGCAGCGATCGCTTTTTCCACTGCTATATCGTATACCCAACATCGGGAATACGCTAAATGATGACCTTCGTAAGGGACCATTTTCGCGCTAGGTATCATGAAATCCCTCAATTGTTCGGCGGTAAGGTCTTTCACTTGCGGAAGTTTGCACCAAAATTCCGTCGGTACCACGACGAGAAACGCTTGCGCGAGATAGATGAACGCGATAAAAAAGCAGGAGGACATTAGCATGACGATAAGGTAGTTTTGATAGATGCCAAATTCGCCTAATAGTGGAACAACATTGTAATCGAATGCATTCAGAATCGAAACCGAAGAATCGTTTATAATTAGAAATGAGAAGTGTGCTTTGATCGATTAGATCTATCGACAATCGATAAGAATTTGTAGAATTATAAGAAAAAGAGAAGAAGAAACGAGATTAGCGGTTTCGTGTGAAATATTATGTTTTTTACGCTTGCCTAGATAAATCAATATATCGTCGAGAGTCACCGCCTCGTTCGGTGGTAAAGCCCACAAAACCGGATGAGACGCAGTTTTCATCTGTGATGAAAAATATTCCACGATTCTCTTCCAGCGAGGAGTTTGACAGATCAGCTATGTATATAACCTACTCATCGATGGACTGTGTAACTTAAAGTACACAGCGAAAGAAATCGAAAAGTATCGGCACAAACATCGACAAATATTCGGACGATTTTCGATCGGTGCAATACACAATATTCACGTTGGTGTATTTCAATGTTATTTCACTTATTCGTAATTCCAACATCTTAAAGAGCGAAGGAATCTTCGTTGAAACATATCCCTGAAATTTTATGCTTTGCAAGATGTATCTTTCTACCTACAGCGCTTCGCGAGAATAAAAATGAAAATAGCGTACCAGATATTAATTTCTATATCTCGAAATGCTCAATTTTCCACAAAGGAGAAAGACATAGGAGTACGAACAAATTAAAGGAACGGAAATACATTTTTAAAAAATCTGTTTTTGCATATGCGGGGACGCTAACAAAAGATATTCAAAAAATCTTTCGAAAAATCATTGTCTTCCCTTCATCTTCCAATTTCCCCTATTAACAGTTGGGGTGCAACTGGAATTAACCCTTTGGCTGTAAACGCAAGTGAATTCGAGATCGCTCGATAACTAAACGAGACACGTTTCCATTGGCAAACTCAATACTCAATGAAACTCGCCCTTTACAACCTAAGGAGATAAGGAGATCGTCCTGAACTTTTCTCCGCACTCCCAGTCCCACCCCAACTGTTTGACCTTAGAGGGTTGATGAAGGCGCAGCTCGTAGAAGGGAGCCAATCAGAACCGCCGTTTAGCTAATGCGTGTAACGCGACCCGTGGGACGATCCGACACGATTCTGCGCTTGTTTCACGCTCCTCGTTACGCTACGGGCATGGTTCTATCTTACACCTAACTCGCCCTTTCTCGTTTCATCGCCAGACGTTAAGGGTGGCGCACCCTTCTTAGCCATGGGTGCTAGGCATCGTCTGCTCTGAAATATCTTGCCATTCTCTATGTGGTTCGAATGGATTTGTGGGGTTTTTGAAAGAGTTTTGAGATGTTTGAAAGTGTTCTGGAATGTCTGAAAGTGTTTTGGAATGTTTGAAAGTGTTTGCGTTTTATCAACTTTGTATTTAGAACAGATGTCGTGTGCTCTGAGATATTTTGATATTTTCTGTATGATTATTGGAATGGATTAAGCCTGATTCACACTAGCAGTCAAAGTCATGGTCGGATTAGGATCCACCAAAAGCTAGGATTTTACCGAGATATTCACACTAAACGATCACAAACAGTCAAATCTCGGCGCAGTCTCATTTTTATTCCATTATTCTATCTCGATTCATAATTTCATAATTTCATCATTGAGATGTGTGACAGTAGTATTTGTGACTAAAATCATATAGTTCGTTGTAATTTCCTACAAGTTCAATTAAACGCACGTTCTCCACGTTCCTTTTCGATTGTTGACCGGAGTCTTGATTAGCAAACCGATGTCACGGCCAATAGATTTTCATTTGACTCGCCGAGCCACCTACCGTGAATGCTCTCGTTGGATCACGTGTGAGTGACCTTGACTCTGTGTCTAACTTGATGTGATTGTTAGTGTGCATCAAGCTTTAGTAACTCCTTTGGAAAAGGTTTCGAAGGTTTAGGAACACTCGTATTTGCACTGTTTCCGATTCTACGAAAACAGTAATTACCATTTAGGTATCGATGAAAATGTTGCAATAAATGAGGTTTTACTAAATTATTAATTTAGTAAAATTTTTTCTCGTTACATAATATTAAAAAATAAGGCGATGAAGAAAATATACTGTTTAATACAGAGAAGCTATTTTTACTTGTACTTTGCACAAATTTATAATTTAGAAAGATGATTAGTATTTTCTAAAATTCTTCAAGAACCAAGAAATATCTTGAGCTTTCTTTACCGCGAATATTACCAAATTCGCATGCAATTTGTAATTTTCTATAAAGCTCGACGAGACGCTCTCCCTGCAAGTTTATCAGGACCGCACTACCTTCAGCCATGTTCTATTTCTAATTTTCAGGGACCAGTAATCCGACGATTTACATAACTTCATAGTAACGATAACGCGATCTTACTCGAGAAATCGAGACTCTGTCTTTTCAAGGGCTCACCAAGGGGTGGATTCCTCCGGAGAATACAAATGGCCGTAATTTAAGACTCTCCTCATTCAAGATAGCTCTTTTCTCCACGAAATTGGCGAAACCTAATTTACGACTAATTTCACGATAATTTTCTCGTGACCTATGACACCGGAAGTGTTAACAGGGGTGATTTAGTTAATTTCACGCTGTACATGTTAATTTGACAAAATTAACCTAATTTAAGCTAAAGGATTTTTTTCGAGAATCTTTATTACGAATAATTGTTACGCAAAAATGTGTCACGTGTACTTTATTCTTTATGTTTGTTGCTCATAGGGGTAATTTTGTTCATTTCGTATGTATATTACATAGTAGTTTAATAAAATAGGTTAATCAAGAGTGGGACATATGTAGAATAATATACACCCTTTGCTTTCTTATAAAACTTTTATCACCAATAATAATTGCGCAAGATAAATTTCTCCACTTACGTCGTTTACGTTTTATTCTCTATATTTACGCCTGATACGAGTGACTTTGTTAATTCTACGTGGTAAATAGTAATTTGGGAAAGTTACCATTAAGGGTGGAATGTAAAACGCCTGTGATTTTTTTTCCACTTGTAATCTATGAACTTGAGAGGGTTAATAAGGGTGATTTTGTTGATTTTATGAGTTTAACAATCTGCCTGTTATAAAATCTTTATTACGAATAATTACGAATAATTGTTGCGAAAAAGTATGATAAATTCACCCACTAGCGATTTATAGTTTACAGCTATTTACAGCTATTGTAATTTATTCTACGTAATATGATACCACGCATATAATATTCCCTCTCGTTTATTGTATGATAATTGTGTTTCAAAATTTAAAGAATGCAGAAATAAGCTCGTTAAAATTCTACGATTTCAAAGCTCAAACATTTTCGAGGTACCAAGACTCGGTACCAAGACATAGTCCCATCGGGCATAGCCCCATCGGGCATAGCCC